AATCTATTACAAATAGAAATACAATTTTCCCTTTCAGCAGATTTCCTTCCTTTGCCTATTTTGTACAATGGATAAATAACAAGGCTGGAAAGAATGCTTGTCAACTTCAATTTTGCTAAACATGCAAATGTTTAAAAAATAATCTATATTAAAAAATCCCTAGACAAACCAGAATATTTCCACAAGTTAAGTAAGATTACAAAGATGAACAGATAATTTACAAATAAACCCTGGTAGCCTACAGAACCAAAATATTTTGTCATGGGGATCCTCCAAGTGGAAGAGGTTAGAATGAGAGGTAAAACCTCATTGAGACTTCCGTTGTTCAAATAAAAAGGCATGGAAACACACAAGGCAGCCATTGGAGGCTTTTATTAGCTGTTGTTTGTGAAAATACAATGCTCAAGTCCTTTGGAGTCCTTCAGGTTAATGTATCCATGTGGAGCTTTGGGGATTACAATGGAGAACCAGAAGTTTGCTTGCCTACTTCAGGATTAGACTCTAAGCCAGTGTGCACAGATTTTACTGGGGAAATAGGCCTCCAAGTTGGAAGCATTTTATTCTTTAGCAAGGCATTTTTGCCAGTGAAACACTGAACTAAATAAACAAAACTTCATTCTCAAGTTATGGCATGTTTCTCTATGGGCATGTAAACAAACTTTACCACTAATCTAAATTAGATGAATATCAGAGCTGACAAGATTTTTATGCTTTTGATTATACTGATAACAGCAAAGCGAGCAACTCGTATATTGACAGTGTTTGAAATCAGATTAACCAGATAAATATATTCACAAAGCTGGTTTGTTAGAGAGAAATCTTCTGGTGCTCTTCTGTGGTAGTTAGACATTCATTGGCACCACAATTTCCAGCGATGAGCAATGATAATATCTGCATCAACTGTTTGAAAGGAAATAATGAAGCCAAAATAGATGAGGTGTTCTAACAGACTAAAAGAGAAAAGTACAGGTATGGGGATTGATCCTTTTTTAGTGCCAAACTGGAGATTTTTCATCAAGGATAGTATCATGTCAGTTATCTCACCACTGGGAGTCAAATAACATTTCTTTGTTCAGTTTATTAAACTGAATTTTGAAGTGTAAGGAGCATTTGTCTTTTTGAATGAATAGAAATTCTGTATTTCTAGTTGTAATGTTTTTTTCTGGCTTCAGTAGTGAAGGTGGTGTCATTTTTGCCATTGGAGCTGAAGGAGCCAAGAGACAGAGTATAAATCAATTTACAGCCTGTTTAAAAGTAGGGAACAGAATGCATGAACCTTAACTCAAAAACTGCTTCAGATGATTATTTTTTTATTATTTACTAAAGTGGACTTCAACCTCCTTGGAGGTTTCAGTGTTAGCATGATAAAATTCATAGCTTTTTAACAAACTGTCTGGTTTCAGCATTTATTCAGTGCATTACACAGGGAACTATACAGCAAGGGGAAGGTCACTCGATTAATCCTTGCTCCAAAGGTGTAAGTGGATATGATCATATGCAATACAAAACTAATAGATATTGATCAGTGTGACAATGCTTCACTGAACAGATGTCTCCTGAAAGGAGAGTGGAAGCAGTTTGGTACTGGAGGCTGTCTTTGTCCCCTCCTCTGATGGTAAGGTGAAGCAGGACCTGGCCAGAGCGCTCCATGCTCACTATGGTATGACAACAACCCCAAGCCAACCTGGCTCAAACAGTACTGTAAGAGAAAAACATTGAGTGAAGTCCGTACATCCCCTGCATGTCCCAAGATGTCCCAGTGTATCCCAGTGCCACGGTAAGGTTCTCCCAGCCTGTGGTCATGAGTCACTGCTGGGCATACTTAGCCCCTCCAGCATACCAGTCTTCCAAAACTGGCTCCTTTCAGGGTCATAAAATGCTCCTACAAAACCAGAAATTAACCTGTTTTATCCCCAGGGGCTGTTTATAGCTCTGGCCAGACCCCAAATTCATGCAGTTAGGAAGACAACCACTGCATATCTGGTGAATTGAATAAGACAGACTAGTGATTCTCTGTGCCCTGAGACTTGTGTAGAGAATAAAGAGATGCTTGTTTGGTCAAGGGCTGAGACCTTCAAGAAGGTCACACAGGGATACATGCTCAACCCTGATGGACATGGCTTTTGAAACCAATTTGATCTCACATGTCTCAGCTTCCCCCATGCCTGCCTATGCTGGATCCATACATGTGGAAACCAAACCACAAAGGGATAAAAGCATGAAAAACATAAACCCCTCTGATTTTTGGAAGGAGACAGCATCAAGCACGAGGATAATGTGAAATCCTTGGTCAGGCGACAGGGAATGAATGCCAACAGAGAGAATACAGAGAGCAGACAGCTGATGCAAGGGAATCAGACATATCAGGTCATATCATGACTCGCATGACATATCTCAGTGAATGAGAATGTCTTGATCCTGGTGAATGTGCACTTCTGAATCTGAAATTTCCTTTCAAGGCTTTGTTCTGGAAGCAAAACCTAATGAAGATTTTGGTGAAACACGCTATGATAGCCTCAAAGAGAGGCCTTCTGCTGAAGTCACCAGGGCCACACCAGTAGGAAACTGGAGGGAAAAGAGAATTAGGTTACATGTGCCTGGGGAGATCTGAGGTGTGGGGACCACAAGTGTTCCTCCTCCAGTAACTCCCATAGCTGTCTGCTGAGGCCTCAGGTAGCAAACATACTGCAGCACAGGTATTGCTCAATGCTTAAGCTTATGACCATGTTTAGGCCTTTTTTTGTCCCTCCTAATCCCTAGAATTTGGAAATGGTGGCATTTTTCCATACAACCTCTAGCTGCTGTCTCTGTTGTTTGTCTGTCTGTGTCACTGGACTAATCAAAGCATTGACAGCTTCACTGGAAGCATCACTTGTGAGTGTGTCTGGAAATTCTAGTTAATCACAGGGGCTTTTTTGCCCTTTCAGGGCAATGGCAGGAAAGAAAACTGATAGAAACCAGAGAGCTTGAGTTAATCAATGTGGTTAAAACTCTGTGAATCTTCTGCTTGAATACAAGGATGAAGGAGGGTAGGGAGATGGAGCCCAAAAATCATGCAAGGTTCTTAGGAGATGGCTGATTCAGCAAAACACAGATTTCTCAGCCTCTACACTCAAGGCTGACTCAGCTTAGCACAGTGGCTAAGTAGGCCCATAATTTTACTTGTGACAAATACCCTCCTCTTCATTGAGACGACTCATGCCCTTGCAGTTGCTTAACTACTTTGTGGGTTGTGAACCACCTCTCAGTCAAGTCATCTGGTTACTGCATGCTCTCCTTTGAAATTCCCACATTGTCAAGGTAGGTACTTCCAATAATGAACACTCTTGGGGCTGTGTCACATGAGATCTTTTGCCTTTTAAATGCAGATGACAGGTTACTAAAAATGTTTCTCTCCACATAGCATTTTTTTGCAGTGCTGCTATGTGCTGCATATGCCTGTAAAAAGTTTATTTATGCCTGTAAAATATTTTATCTGGTTTAGGTTTATTGTCTGGCCCAAGAAGAAAAAGAAATTGATTTGGTTATCACATTTCATTGAACAATCCTGTGAACATGTTAAACAGATTGACAGTTATATTTAAATATAATTAGGTATGGTGAACTTGCTAGTTTAGTTTTGTAAGACTTGTTTAGTTTTGTAAAGTTCATTTTTGTAAAGACATAAGCATTCAGTTTCTTGTTACTTTCATGCCAAGTATGACACTGACCTCTGCACTGTGACAGAATTCTTATTCAGAATTTCAGTTGAACCTCATTGTTGCTGTTAAGTTGTACCTGTATTTTTGTCAAAATCTGTTTTACTCAAAATTCTTCAAAACTCTGACTCCATTCTGGATCTGTATCTTTCTGTAGCCTAATAGTTGAAAGTTCTTTGGGTTGCAGTTGCAGCATAAGCACAGATGTTACAAAATGAACAGACTTTAATCTTGTTCAGACTGAAGTCTATCTGTTTCTTCAGTGCAAGGAGTTTTACATGTGTTATTTTTTCGTATGAGAGAATAGGCCACATAGCTGCAGCCTGTCACTTTTGAGTCTTCACTCATTTTACTCAATTGTTCTTAACGAGGCAAGGTAGCTCATTTTGGTGGGTGATACAGGAGAGATGCTGTATAAATTGGCAAAAATCTCAGTCATATTCCTTAAGTATTAGTCACAGAGAACACGGCTATTTCTCTGCTTTACCTTATCTCTCTGAATTGAATAAAGAACTTAGATGTAATGAATTAAACGCCATGTATTTGACCTCTGCCCTTGCCCGATATTCCAGGGAAATCATTCCTGCTCCTAGACCGGTGCAGCCCAGACCTGTCCTTGGTGTGGAGCTGCTTCTTCAACGTCGTTTCCTTATTCCCTCCCTAGGACCAGCAATGCACCGGGCTGGCCACGGAGCAACCGGGAAATAATGACAAAACACATCTCTGGAAAAGAGGACGAGGAAATGAAATCGGAGGGCTCCGCCGTCCTTCGGGAAAGGGAAAAATACGTATAAATCCCTGAGCAGATGGTGAGTGTAAACACACCGGAGGGGAGCTGAGTTCCTCCCCGGGGGGAACTCGGACTTTCTCCTCTCGGCCGGGGGAGCTGCTCCGCCCGGGGACACACGGACACGGACAGACACGGGGAAGCGCACCCACACAGCCGCACAGAGAACACGCTCTCTATCATCCCTTGCACACACACACAGAGACCGAGGAGGCCCCGCTCCGCGGAACCCGCGCCCCGCACCGGCACACAGGCGAAGCGCCGCCCCGGCCCGCCCCCGCATCCCTCCCTCCTCTCCTGCCGCCCTCCCTCCTCCCCGCCCGCCGCGCACACACACACACACACGCACACACACACACACCGGCCGCAACATGACGGGCGGGCGGACGGACTGACAGACCGGGGCACCGCCGCTCCGCACGGATTATTTTCCCCGCGCCGGGGCGACGCGGCGGAGCAGCGACCCAGCGGGGCGGGGGCGGTGCCGTGCCGCGCTGCCAGGAGGGTCCCAGCCCCCGCCGGCGAACGGCGAGCGCGTCGGGCGCTGGAGGAGCCCGGCCAGGTAACGCGTCCCTGCCGGGAGGGCGGTATCGCCGGGCAGAACCGGGCCAGGCCGCGGGGCGCCGCCGGGTCCCGGGCGTGCGGGTGCCCCGGGGCGGCGGGACCGGGTCGCCCCGCTCGGCAGGTGCCGAGGTGATCCGGCGGGTGTCGCCCCGGGGCGCGGGCGGGCCCCCTGCCTTGGCCTCGCCTTCCCCGCCCGCGGGGCGGCGGCCGCCGGGCGCCCTGCGCCGACCCGCGGCGCGGCTGCGGCGGTGGGGGCGGCGGAGGATCGGGGCTGCCGGTGCCGCAGCTCCGCGCTGATCCCCGGCAGCCGCGCTCCGGGAGCGCCGGGGATTTGCGAGGGCGGCGCGGGGACAGCGGCACCGGCGGCTTTGTGGAGGGGCGGCCGCAGGTGTCCCCCGGGGCTGGCCCGGCCCGGGGCAGCGGCGGTGCCGCCGGGGTGGCCTGGGGGCAGCGCGGGGCTCGTCGGTCCCGGCCTGCGGGGGGCACGGCGCGGGCAGCCGGTGCCCCGCTGGCCGTCGCTCCGGCCTCGCTGCTGCAGGTGACGGGGAAGAAATCCCATCATTTTTTTGTTTATTTTTTGGCGTTTCTTCTTTCCGTTTCCCCCCCTCTCCCTCCGTGTGTGTGTGTTAAGCAATCTGCGATTAACCAGAGAAAACGCCAAGAAGTGGTTTCAGAACCAGTGGGAGTGGGTAGGGCCCGGCCACTGGCGGTCACGTGTGACCTTTGCCATGGATTTGGAGGCAGGAGCTGGAGGATGCTGCATGTGCTTTCCAAAATCGCATGGCAAGCTTAAAAAGTGGAGCAGATGGTGATGGTAGTGCTTATTATGGAAGAGGTTCATGGAAATCCTTTATTTCCTCTAGACAGTTTTTGTTTTGCTCCTCCTAGCTAAAGAGATTGACTTTTGGCAAGGAAGGGATGTTGCTGCAAGTTGCCTTGCAAAGCAACGGGGTTATTTTGCTCTTCCACAGAGGAGGGATCCCCCCCTCCCTCCGAGCTTTATGTCTCTGTTTCTCCTTTGGGATTGACAGCAGTAAGTGTCTTGGCATAGACAAACTGCAGTATGCTTTATTTTCTTATTGCACACCTTTATAGTTGAACGGAACTAGAAAGGAGACTGAGAGTATTCTCTTATCCTTCTTCTATGCCAGATGTGTTTTTCTATCTAGTATATATTGCACTTGAAGTGTTAAAGTCTCAGGGGGCACGGAGGTGGGGATGTGAGGCAAGGTCTGCTAGGTACTTCAAACAATTCTCCTTGCTCATACTTAAGAAGGAGAGAAAGGAACATGTTGTAAAAGCAGCTGAGGAATATATAAAAGTGAAATATTAATGAACTGAAAAAGCTCAGATAGCAAAGACGTTGTGCCTAATCATTCAGGAGTGTTCTTGTCCTCTTTACAACTTTTCATTGCATGTGTTCCTATACTACAAATGCAGTTGGTATAAAGGATGGTAATAGTTGTATTTATTTAGCTGGAAGCAGTAGTAGTACATTTTGGGATTTTTTTGGCATTAGTGATCATCTCTGGAGTAGCTTCCTTTTTAGCTGTGATTTTTGAGGCTGCTGTAAGAAAGGGAATTATTACAGAAGCAGTAAAAAATACTTCAAGAATGTTTTCTTGGAAATGTAAATGGGAAGGTCTGACTCAGCCGTGGAATAACCCAGAGAAAGAAATAGTCTTGGAAAGTCCTCTTAGAGACTTCATGATGACAACATTATTAATCTCTTGCATCCCAGAGATCAATGTCCCAAAAAGAGGCAGCACTGTCTGAGGAGAAGGTAATAATACACAACTGTCCAGGGTCTGCTGAAAGTGAGACATAGAAGCAAGGGGTATTTTCTGCCAACTGAAGTTCCTTTACCTCTTTGAGTCTGGAGTGCAGTGGTCCCTGTAGTTTGATTAACTTCCCCAGTTTGGCTTGGAAGGAAACTGAAGCGCAGCAGCTTTCTGCCATAGTTTGATGAGGGAATTTAGTTCAGTGGGAAAGTCAGCCTGCAGGGTGAAGTCTTGTAACCCTGGCTGTAATCCTTGGTGGGACATTTTGGAGTAGCTGGTGGCTTGAGTGAGGCCTGCCTTCTGGAGAGCTTGGTGCAGGCCTGAGTAGGGCACCAGATACAGGGAGCTGGACCAGCAGGATGAGCTGGGACAGCACACAGGGCATGTACCATGTCTGACTTACACAAGTTAATGTTTGTTTTTTAAGTCTATTAGTCACAGAAGATGCTGAAAAAGCATCTTGTATCCTCAGGTCTGTGCATGTGGTTGTGATCGTGAGAGCACGATCTCTTGTGCTGCATAAGCTGCGTGTGGTTGGATTTCTCCTTTTTCATTCAAACCTAATGTCACAGGAGCCTTTGAAGTTGACATTGAAGAAATATTTGGCAGTGTTTTGGAGCTTTTTTTTTGCTTGAGTGTTTTATAAACTGAAAGAGAGAGGTAGAGAAGTTGCTCCATTGGGAAAAATTCCCACTCTTCCATGAAAGTTCGACCATGGCTTTGTTGGATTAGCCCATCTGGAGTACTAGAAAGAATAATGGCCACTGTATATTTTTTATGATGTTGGGAATTACACAGATACAAGTAAGTTATTGAGAAAAGCATTTTGTTAAATTCAACTCAATGATAGTTTTTAAAAATCATAAATCTACCTGCATATTCTAGAACCATCATACTTTAATAGTGTTTAATTGGATTGTTTACACTGCAATTTTGGAGGCCTCCTTTTACCTATTTACCTTCCCTTGAGGCAAGGGAAGAAGTAAATGTTGCACTGTTGTTTTTCTGAGGTTGATTGACTAAAGCATGACATGAAGTAACATTGATGTGTCAGTAAACATATCAATGGAAAAGAAGGCCTATGAACACTTAGTTAAATTAAATAGCTACCAGCTTTTTGTGGTGAGGAGCTGAACTACATCTTCTATCTTCTATCTTCTTCTAAGAAGTTACTCTATGTTGTAAGTTTCAGTGCCTCAGGTCTTCCCCTAGAGGACAGTTTTGCTGCAATTGGAGGGGCTCATCATCAGGTGGGAGGAGGGAAACAGAAGGAAATACACACATAGATAATGGCAAATGGGGGCTGGGTTTGTTTCCTGAAAAGTGACTGTAGTTTCTTCAGATTTTCTTCTCAATATTGTCTTTATTTGGCGGTTTTCTGCAGTGACAGTAAACTGGGTTACCTTGATCAAGTGAATATGTTTTTGTGTTGGACTTCAGCTATGGAGTGTACTGGCTGTATGAGATGCCATGTAAAATAACAGAATTTGAAAGTACCTAAAATGCACATTGCTATTTGTACTGGTAAGATTTCATATATACTCCTGTGCTTTAGCAAGGGCCTGTAACTTGTATGGAAGATGCAGCTGTATATTTTACAGGCATCAATATTAAACCCCTGTAGCTGTTTGGTAGTTAAATATGTGGTTACTTGTACTTGCTGCTTCTTGACTTGTTTTCACTGCACTGCATAGTGGGCTATGTTGGTTAGATAACACAAACTCACTCCATGACTGAAGGCTGTAGTATCATTTGGCTGTTATATGGCAGTGAGATGATAGTAATAATAATAGTAGTAGTAATAATGCTTTCTATCAAGTCTGCTGCCTTTACCTGAAATGTGACTGTCTGACAGAGGATAGTTGGTTTATAGCAAGGGAAAGGAAGCTACAGGCAGGCAATAAGTAAAAATAGTCAAGTCCTGGATGTGAAAGAAGCAAGATTTTTATTAAATGTGCACTGTAGTCTTGTTGCCTATGTTTTGTAACTCTGCACAAAAAGTAAAACCACACTGTTAAGCGGGATTACCAGATCTGTGATGATGGTTTTGTATCCAAACATTGTGTGTTGCCTCTACTTGGTGCTATGTTTTTGCCCTGTTTATTGCTGTGAAGGCCCACATGAGTGTTGAGGTATGGACTTGTAGTTCTTTTCCTCATACTAGGGACATTGAAGCAGTGATGTGTGGAAGTCACACAGCTGATTTGTGATAAAGACAGTCAAACTGGAATATCCCAAGTCCCACAGTCTTATCTTAATGGATTAATTGTATTTATATAGTTTGTTTGATAACCTGGCATAGATGTGGAAACTTGTTACAGTTCCGATTACAGGACTGTGTGTAAAGTTATGCAGCATTTTCTCAATAAAGACTAATTACTATCAGGCGATTTATTTTTTTTCAGTCTAGGCAAAAGAGCTTTTCCTGGATTATTTTTTTTTTTGTTGTTAAGTTTGAGAGAAAGCAGTTCTGCACTCATAGAATGTAATGATGCTTTTACATTATTTAAGGAAATACCACTTAATTTTTTATAATGCTCTAGCATATCAGGAATTTGAGATCTGGCTCAGTCAGTAATGCTTCTGAGGATCACAGCTGTTTTCCAGTGTGAAGAACCAGTTGTGACAGACTGGTAGGAAGCTTTTAAAAACACTCCTTTATAAATTTTGGTAGTGCAAATCATTGCTTCTGAAAGTATATTGTTTGGCTCTGGTGCATATCCAACTGTGACTTTTTTTGCTTATTTCATGCTTGTTTTTGGGCTCCTTTACTGATCCTAGTTTCATGTGCCATGTTTATGTGATCTCTTTAAGCATTTTAATAAGAAAATAACAGCTCTAAGTGATGTACTGGTTTTGTATAGTACTGTTGGATTTAAATTTGGGTGGGGATACAGAAGTATTCAACAGGTTTCTCATCAGCGTGTTGCTTGTGGCATAGTCCAAACCTTGTAATTTACCTAAGAACCAATGACATCTGTTCAGATGTCACCTGCCAATGATGTTAAACTGTCACTGTGTGCCATGCCAGCCAAATCTCACACTGAGAGAAAGATGGGGTCACCCAGTACCTCCAAAATATGGTCAGAGAGGTATGCTGTGCTCAGGTGGCAGGCTCTGCCTACTCTGCCAATATCCAAATGCGCCAGCAGTTTGTGCTTTGTGTTTTGTTCTGTGGGCTAGGTACTAATTCGAAATTCTAGAGTGTCTTCAAGCT